ACTGGCGATTTGTGACACATATTCCAACATGTCTTGGTGGTTGTTGACTAGAAGGTTAAGTTTTGGTGGCTTCAAATCCATCTAACATCAAAAATGTATAAACATGTCCGTTTGGTAAAAAATAGAGGGGCCGGTTTGGTATACCATCTATCATCATTTACCTGTTGTTGTTGTTTTTCAGGGGGTTCTTCAAACCCCTCTATCAACCAACCAATGGGAAAAGGAAATCTATGTTCTAACACCAGCAACACCAAAACAACTATGGTTCTGGATCATAATACATCATCATACATCTATGGTTTATAACTATGTAACTATCAGCAATTAGCCACTTATTGCACAATGGTTTTATTATCACCATAACCACAACTCTTTGTCATCTATGTGCATGGTTATGATCCATCCGGTAAACAAGCGACTTACATTGACGATTCCCAGATATTACCCGGCCTGGTAAACGTTAACAAAAAACGATTAAACATGGCCATTTATAGTGAATTTTCCCATGAGAAATGGTGATTCTCCATAGTTATGTAACAATTATGTAACAGTTTACCAGATATTTTATGGCTATGGGCAATAAAGACATTTTGTTGATCCCTTCCCACTACTCGCACAAGGTGGCGTCCAGTTATAAGTTGCTTCATAGATCTCACAAACTAGTTCGATCTACCATGAACCATAGAATTCACGTCATGAGTCATGAATTAATTTACCAACTTTGCTATCATAAATCTGCCACATAAATATATATATATATATATCCTATGAATGTTTTCCCCATGTTTCGTGGTGAAAAATCACCAGTTTCCTATGGTTTTCCTATGGTTTTTCCCATGAAACCATCATAATTTTCCCATCAGAGTCCTATGCATCAACAACTCTGACATAAGTTGTGCCACACGTTCACCAGCTTGAAGCACCAACGCCTGGCGGAGTGCACGGTTTAAACGGGAGAAAAAAACAAAAACCATGGGGACTTCTGAGTTCCCAGAAAAGATACAGTTATGGACCAACTAACAGTTCTAAATGGAAGTGAAACTCCTATAACGAATATATAATTACATCATTATAATCCATTCTAGGCCCATTTATAACTGCTAAGGGAAAAACAAAAAATCGTAGGAAAGTATGGGATGAATTATGTGATGATGTACTTTTCTATTGGGGGTTGCCGTGTTTCATCATGTTTCATCAGCATCTATACGAATCGTGTTTCGTTGCAGCACCCCGTGAGGCTTGGTTGTCACCATTTTTCTGGCATCAGGCCCTGAAGCACTAAACCGGGATCCGACCTGAAGTGCGAGGACTTCAGCAACATCTTTTTTCATCGTAACATGGAGACTATAGATGACTATAGTCTGTAAGCCCCCAACAAAAAAACGAAAAGTATTTTCACAGTTAGGGCCCTTCACTTCACAGTTATAAATGGAATTACATAACTTTTACAACTAGTTGGTTATATATGATTATAAACCCACTTATAACTGTTAAGGGTCATAACTGCAGGATGGTACAAGATGGTGCTTTCCGCAATTTTTCTCCAAGTTTTCTATCACAATCCGAGCTGGGTGAAATCCAGGCAGGTCTCTGGAGGTTGAAACAACCGCAGAAAATTCAAAAAACAAGTGTCCTAATGTGGAAACACAATCATAAACCATCCCCCAGTCATCACATCAAATCACCATTTTTATTGGTTGTAGGTCAGGTGTTATACACCATTTCCAAATGGGTGTTTTATCCACATTATTATTTTTAGATATGTAAACTATCGTGAACTGGGGCAGCCAAGCTGCTGAAGTCTGAAGGTCCCCGGGATTCAACCACTTCCCCCAAGGTGACAAATGACAAAGGCATCGATTCCTGGGGTTCTGCTCTGCTCTGCTGAAAAAACCACACCCCAAATTCTTCGTTCGACAGAATTTTGAACAGATGAAACCACCAATCATCAATGGTCATGTGAAATCACCACCTCAGACTTGTAGACTTGCTAGTCCCCGACCCTCTAGGACTCAGAACAGTGACCCCGGCCTCATAAAGTTTGCGCCACTGACGGATGTTTTCGGTGCTCAACTCAATCCCTTGGCGTTGCGTCTGGATTTGGGGACCACAATTTTAGCTTTCAATGCTCATTTAGGGGGTTCTTAAACAGATATCAAAAATGTGGGATCCCCAAGTCACCATGGGTTTCAATGATCTAAGTTTGGATAATTTGGGAGTACCATTTTAGGACACCTCCATGGGTGATCTTTCCCACCAATCCCAGATTTATGGTTCGGTGGTCCCTCCTTCCTATGGCTTGCTTAAATCTTCGTTCTTGATGCTGAAACCCTAAATCCTGGTTGACCTTGAAATGATCAAGATTACTGTTCATGCCTACTGATTCCTTCCCCTGCTCATACAAGGTGGTGCCCCATGGTTAGATAAGCTGGTGCAAATAACTCCCATTTCACTATGGTTTATGGCAAATATAACTATAGTTCATGGGGTTTATTAACCAACTTATAACTGGGGGGCACCATCCTGTATTCGATTTCCCGATATTTCACTCTGGACGCCCGAAAGACTACACCAATTTTCAAAAGGGATTGCGTATTCCGGCCCATCAGGTATGACTTGGTTTATGTTCACATTCAGAATTTCAACCGAGATAGTTATGCATCAATACAAATGCAACACACGACCAAAATCTATTGTATATGAATAAATTATACCTCTTGGGTCTTGATGGTATAAAACCATGTAAACCCCCAATTTGTTCCTTCATAAAAATGTGTTGTGCTGTTAGCATCTTGTTTGTTATTGTACAATGTGGTGCCCCATCGATCGCTAACTTGGTTTATAACTACAATTTCACTAGGGTTCATGGAAATTATATCTATAATTAGATGGGGTTATAAACCAACAAACATAACGTTTGCGGGCCCCACATTGATAACTATGGTTACTAACTAACTATGGTTACCTCTATTTTTCGGATACCTCCATATTAATCTACCATATTAATCAAGGATTTTCGGCCCCACATTGTATGAGCGTTTCTCATGGGTTTTCCTGGTGAAATCACCATTTTCCTATGGTTTTCTCATGGTTCTCCTGAGGAGCCCAACGTGTTTGGCCAGCAGGCAAGGCTGCATAAATATCACAGGCCTGATCTCAACACTGCGGGATGACCAGGTTTCCTACAAAGTGGGGCCCCCGTTTGATAGCTCAGTTGGGCCAAATCACTACAATAAGTATAGGGTTTATGGTACCCTATGGATCCAAGTACCTCCTTAGGAAGTACTTGGGGTATGATTTAGGGGGTTGAATACTTTCTCAGGCAGTATTTGGATCCATAGGGGTAGTTATAACTATTATAACTATAGTTCGATGGGGTTATAAACCAACTTATAACTAGTATCAACCCCGCACGAATAACCCCCTGGGCTCATGAATTGGGACGGGGGAGTACCATTTTCGTTGCAGATTCCAACTCTTTGGAGGAAACCCTCTTGTGAATCAGTCAGGGTTAATCCGGGGTTGAAACCACAAATTGATTCAAAGGTTAATTGAGACCATTCATCAATTTGGACCCCCTTGTGATTCTTGCGCATCAAATCTCGGATCCCACACATTACTTCAGATTCTGGAAACGACCAACCATGTGCGAGGCCATTCCCATCCCAATTTGGACCCACGACTGATATGATTGGTAGTTGACTTAGCAAGATGACAATTCATTGGGATTTGAACCCACTTAGATGACTGATTATCAACAATTCAATTGTATATGATAATCCTGCAGTAGATAGAATGTGGTAAGTTTCAAAAATCATCTCATTGTCATGAAGATGTTTGACACGTCCATATTCATATATATATATATATATATATATGTATTTATATTCATATATTCTATCTACTGCAGGATGACTATATAGATATGTATATATATATATATATATATATATATATGATTTGGAACCCGTTGGTGGCATATCATAAGTCAACCCAAGTTCTTTCCCACACAACCTGACCCTGACCTTGTTGGACAGTTCACTTCCTTGGTGGACGGGACTCTGAAATGGGGCTTTTCCATAAATGGTGGTACCCCTAGTTTTTCATAAATGGGAAAGCAACCTCCAAAAATGTCCTCATTTTCCCCATATGGAAGTTTCCTGACATGGGGGTACCCCTAGTTATCATCCATGTATAGATGGGATTTTCCCTGAAATCAACCATCCAGCTATTGGGAAGCCCATTTTCAGGGAGCAGCTCTTGGGAGAAAAACTGGAGCTGCTTATTAGGTGCTGGGGGTTGCGTTCCCATGTTGACGTTGAAAGCATATGGACAGATGCTGCAAAAGCAAGTATACAGCCTAGAAGTGGTTTGAAAGAATAATTATGCACAGAAAACCCATTTGTTTAATGTGGCCAAAAAAAACTTTAATGTGGTTAAGACAATAATAAACCACCCCATATTTGATGGTTTATACCACCCATCTATGGTGATTTTGGGGATGGTTTATTATTGTTTTAACCACATTACAGCTATTCATGCTATTCTGATTTTTTAAGTTTCCCTCACACCCTAAATTCATACGACGACAATGCATCCCAATGCAAGATGTGGACCAACGTGACCAACCAGCCGACCAAGAACCTTAAAAGCGTAGACATGGACATGAGGTTAGATGGGTGTAGGTTAACTATATCACCCATTTCCTGTATCTAGGTCAATATTCATGATTTAACCTGAAAATCCAGGTCATTTGGGTTTCCTCTAAAATCATGGCCAATCTTAGATACCCTGCAAAAAATCACAAGTTCTTAGCTGCTGAACGCAAATAATCCCATTGATACCAAAAGACTAAAGGATTAAACTAGCCATCCAAGATTGACCTAGTATAGTGGAAAATGGTGATTTAACCAAGATAAACATGTGATTTATGGGGATTTAGCAATGATTTAACAATTAAAATTAACAATATAACTAGCCTGGTGAAATTTAACAATCATTTAAGCAGGCCGCTCTCTTGAGGTCGTCCATACGACGACACTGGCGACATCGGCCGAGGCTCCCCAAGTCGCAAAGACTTCGCCGGGATGTTCTTTGAAGTGATGCCATTTTTTGTACATCCTGAGCTCAATCCCCGAATAAATAGCTAGCCGCAGCTAGCCACCAGTTAGATTCATGCGAATACTTCCTATTTGGATTATATGGTTTATGCGCATAAATGGATCATAATCCACCTATGACTCACGGGGCCCCCAAGATAGCTAAGTTGGTTTATAGCTACAATAACTAGGATTTATGGTAGCTATAACTATAGTTGGATTGGGTTATAAACCAACTTATAACTAGGGGGTCCCACATTGTGCTGAGCTCAATCCCCGGAGAAATGGGTAGCCACCAGTTAGATTCATGGAATACCCTATTTTTGGTGATTATTAATGATTTATGTCTATGTTTATATATGCTGAAGATGACTGAAATATATGGATTATAATCCACCTATGACTCGCGGGGCCCGCACATCCATAAGGGATAAACGTTCACTAATCGCGGCCTTTAATCCACCAGTTGTAGATGATTTCCAAGGGACAGTCATGGATTTCCATCGCTGTACAAGGGTTACAACTAGCGAACGTGACTGTTTGAAGCCAAACGAAGCCATGTTACAACTGCTCTCATCAAACCTCCTTGGCTTCCAAAACACCAGAAGTGTCGCTGAGAAACCAGCGACATCTCCATTTTCATGTGCAAAATGGGTGGCCAAATCCATGTAAATCACAGGCGAAGTGTTCAAAACCCTCTGTCGTCCCACCAGTTGATGAATACTGGGGTTGGTAAATGTCCGAATTAAAAAATCACCTAATCCTTGGGGTTTCCATCAATGGGGGTACCCCAAAAACGCTGGATGGTTTATTTCACGGGAAATCCAGCTATAAACTGATGATTTGGGGGTGGTTTATTAGGGACAATCCTATTAAAATTGATGATAACTAGGGGTACCCCTGTTTTAGGAAACCCCCAATTCTTGGGGAAGCTCTTCGCCTCTGGAAATTGAGACAGGCGAAGCTGAGCACTGCTTGACTGAGCTGCATTCAACAATTTAACTACTTGAAGATGATGTGAAAAAAATAAGATGGGGCATCAATCCCAACCCCTGTAAGAAGCGTTCCCAGAATGGATCAGGGTAAACTATAATAATTCACCAACTTGCCATGTGGGGCTAATATTGGAATGATCCCCCTTTACACTCACCATCGTTCCAAGGCTCGCGACGTGAGGTCGTTGTAGTTTACCCTTTGAATGGATGATGATCTCCAAAATATATTGGATCGGAAAAAAACAAAACGAAGCAATCAACAACAAACAGGACTGTCTGACTTGCCACTGCTAAATCCCCAGTTTTGTTGTTTCCATCATCCATGTTGCTTTAATATCCATCACCGATTATCCACTATAAATCCTCATGTTCGATAATTGGTTCCCATTTGTCCACCATTCTTAGCATGGTTGGATTGAAAAAGGAATTGCAGGATAATATCCTTGGAATACTGTTGAATACTATACATTTTTTCCACTTTTTCTGGCCGATCTAGATACACCTTAGATTAGACTATGCCGATGTAAATTAATGATAGTTAGATCCTGATTATTGATTATTGTAATACTGTTGAATAATCCACTTTCCATCAGATTATCCACTAGATATCAACAGTATTTAATTATCCCGTTAATCTGTCACCCATCCATAATCCATTTATCCAAATTGTCCACTTTCTCAATAGATACTACTAGTTAATGATAGTTAGATATTAGTTACCTTAAATTATTGTAATACTGTTCAATACTACTAGTCAGCATTACCCAGTTAGATCCAAAGTGGATTTATCCAAATCATCCATAATCTGTCATCTATTAGCTACAATGTGCGGTCCCCAAACAATAGCTAAGTTGGTTTTTATAACCCCCATGAATACTATAGATATATTTGCCATAAACCATACTTAACCTAGGCAAATAAACCAACTTAGCTATCATACATCAGCTATAATTCCCATGAATCCCCAAGTTTTCTTGGTTCAATCCGCATTTTCCCATGGTTTTCCCATGGTTTTCCCACGGTAAACGAGCGCCCAGCTCCGCCCAGCTCGGCTCCCCGGTCTCCTGGGATCGCCATGGAAATCGTTCAGCTGGAAGTCCAGTGGCAGCTGGCTTTCCTTGGGGATTTCACCGTAAAAAAACATGGGGATTTCACATACAGGATGGTGCCCCCCAGTTATAAGTTGGTTTATAAACCCCATGAATACTATAGTTGTATCTGCCATAAACCATAGTTATGGGAGTTATAAACCAACTTATCTAACTATGGGGCACCACCTTGTAGGATTTAGCTGATTTAACCACTCAAAATGAAGGGAAATGAGGATTTCAGCAAAACATGTAAACATCTAAGCATCTGGCTGTGGGGAAACATGAGGATTTAGCTGATTTATATATCTATGATTATCCCAAACTGTTAATTTACCAGAGGTAATTTACCAGAGGGTAATGTTTAATCGTACTGGTAATGTTAATCTAAGCATTAGGGGTTTCCTAAGTCATGGAGGTACCCGAATAGCTGGATGGTTATTATTTCATGGAAAATCCGAAAATAACATGGATGATTTGGGGGTACCCCTATTTCAGGACACCTCCAAATGGGGATTTAGTTGATTTAACCACTCAAAACGAAGGGAAATGAGGATTTCAACATATTTCAACACATGTAAACTTCTAAACATCTGGTTGTCATCACATCTGGGATACCAACATCTGACATGATATGATTAGATCCAAGCATCTGACCTCTTGTGAACTACCTTTTGCAATTCGAGCCGATCTCAAACTCAGAAAGTCCGGGCCGACCCGATCTCAAGAGGCATACCCTCTGGTAATCAAACGTGGCAGTGGAAAATCTGGAGGTTTCATAAAGGTTTGATGGAGGCTTTAATGGGAACATCATCTACAATGTGGGGCCCCCGTAAGATAGCTAAGTTGGTTTATAACTACAATTTCACGTTTGGGTTTATGGTAATTATATATAACTATAATTAGATGGGCTTATAAAAACCAGGGGCCCCACATTGTATTTTTGTGAGGATTTTCCATTGCCACGTCGTGGACGGTGAAATCAATGGTAGACGGATGGCTGACAAGTGTTTAAAAGTTTAAGGTATGCTTGCCTAGGGCTGAGAGCAACCAAACATTTTTTCGGGGTCCCAAAAGTTGCCCATCCAAAAATGGTTGTGGAAAAATATGGAAAGTGGAAAGCATCATTTGAGATCACCTACGATCAACACCAGGAGCCCTGTGGAGCCTTGATGTACGGGAAAAAATGCCGGAAACTATGCTTCCCTATTAGCATCGTAAGGGGTACCGAAAAAAAAACAACGGACCTGGGTCCCCTGGTGCTCTACTCACATCAATCCAAGACCGTGCCCATTTCTGGTTGCTGGTTGAGCCTACCCCTCTGAAAAATATGATTTGGTCAGTTGGGATGATGACATTCCCAACTGAATGGAAAGTCATAAAGTTCCATGGTTCCAAAGCACCAACCAGATTTCATCGATTCCTGGTTTGAACGCTGAAAGCTATTGAAACCGAAAGACCATTTCAGCCCTGGCCTATTCTGGATCCGAGCATCCCAATAATCGAAGAGAGAATACTCCTGAAACGCCATGAAGCTGGTGTGGCCTAGACATGTCAAATAATGTCATGAACCCAGATGTTTTTTGATGGGAAGCCAAAACAAAAAATGATGGGATGGATTGATCCTGTAATTCTGAAATAGGTCTACACAAATATGTTTGCTACTTGCATGAGTCATGCCGGAATTCCTTGTTTACGAAGTCGCTTATCAACAAACTTGAGTGGCAAAACAACTACTACCGGCATTACTCCTGTACCTGATTTATATAGAAGTCTAGGTGAATTCGAATTTCTTTGTATTGGTAGCCCATCCCTATGAAAATCCCTTGCAGATTGTCTCACAAATGCGCCATGGTCAGGTTACACGGGACGAATTGATTATGGTAATCTCATCATAAAATGGACAAGTATCATGTTGGGCATAATTCACTTCCGTCTTAATGATGGCATGACCATCGCAAACTATATCACTATAATTCATACGTAGGACTTGTATGTATGTGCATGTGTATGTATGTATGTATGTATGTATGTTTGTATGCATGTATGTCATGTTATGTTATGTTATGTTAAATAATGTTATGTTATGTTATGTCATGTTATGTTATGTTATGTTGTGTATGTATGTGTGTATGTATGTGTGTATGTATGTATGTATGTATGTATGTAATGTAATGTAATGTAACTAATGTAATGTATGTAATGTATGTAATGTATGTAATGTATGTAATGTATGTAATGTATGTAATGTATGTAGTGTACGTAATGTATGTAATGTATATAATGTATGTAATGTATGTAATGTATGTAATGTATGTAATGTATGTATTATGTAATGTATGTAATGTAATGTAATGTAGTGTAATGTAATGTAATGTAATGTATGTATGTATGTATGTATGCATGTAAGTATGTATGTATGTGTGTATATATGTATGTATGTATGCATGCAAGCATGCATGCATGCATGCATGGATGGATGGATGGATGGATGGATGTATGTACGTACGTGTGTAGGTATTTATGTCTGTCTGTATGCATGTGTGTTGTGTTATGTTATATTTTGTTTTGTTTTGTTATGTTGTGTATATATGTATATTGTGTATGTATGTATGTATGTATGCATGTATGTATGTATGTTTGTAGGTAGGTAGGTAGGTAGGTAGGTGTGTATGTATGTATGTATGTATGTATGCATGCATGCATGCATGTATGTATGTATGTAAGTGTGTGTGTGTGTGTATGTATGTATGTATGTATGTATGTATGTATGTGTGTATATATGTATGTATGTATGTATGCATGCATGGATAGATGGATGGATGGATGGATGGATGGGTAGATGTATGTATGTAATGTATGTAATGTATGTATGTATGTATGTATGTATGTGTATGTGTATGTCTGTCTGTCTGTATGCATGTATGTTATGTTATGTTATGTTATTTTTATGTTATGTATGTATGTATATTATGTATGTATCTATGTAGGTAGGCAGGTATGTATTTATGTATGTATGTAATGTATGTAATGTATGTAATGTATGTAATGTATGTAATGTATGTAATGTATGTAATGTATGTAATGTATGTAATGTATGTAATGTATGTAATGTATGTAATGTATGTAATGTATGTAATGTATGTAATATATGTAATTTTATGTTATGTGATGTTATGTGATGTTATGTGATGTTATGGTCTGGTTTGGTATGTATGTATGTATTTATGTATCTATGTATCTATGTATATATGATTATATATGTATATATGTATATATGTATATATGTATATATGTATATATGTATATATGTATATATGATCCAGCTTTTCACCCAGGCACATATTCGGAGACATTGTGTGGAACTACCAAGAATGAGGTGGTGCCACAGTTGGATTGTAAGTTATAATTCATATATAACTAGGATCTATGGTAGGTAAACAGTATTTATCGTTAATAGGCTTCATAAATCAATGCAAATAAAAGGACGGCTCTTCATGCAGGAATGTTCTTCAAAATGCGCAAAACTCAAAGACTATCAAATGGTTGCGAAACTCTACAAAAAGCTCATGGGCTCCCCATACAAGAAAAATATGGTTATCCCTAGCTTAGCTACCTCTTAGCCACTAGATAAAACAATAATTTGCTTTCTGTCTGGACCTCATTGTGGAAGGTCTGTGAACGTCAGATCAGCGAGCGGAAAAATGGCATCCTGGCGCAAAATCCCATGATCCAACATTCAATGGATTGGTGGAAGAAAACTTCACGGGAAACCGTGCCTCCTAGTAGTCTTAGCGTTTTCCCATCGATTTTCCCGTTCACTAATTACAGACATAGGAAGGACCTAACATTTTTCGCAGCCTCCAAGAAGGGACACGTTGTCCAGGCAGTGATGATTTCTCCACAGCCACAGCCACGACACCGACTTGTCGCCGTCCCGGATCCATTCTGAAAAGGAATGCGACCGAGCTTGATGGCCTTCCAGCACTTCGGGCACTCCACCTCAGGCTCATCCTCATACCTAGGGTAAGCCACAATCTTCCCAGGGTCTGAGTTCTTGCCAAATAGCACGTGAAAATTGGAGGAACGAGAAGAACATATCGAGATATGAAGCAATTAGGAGCTCCCTGTTCCAGCTGCAAATGATGCAGTTCCAATCCGCGGAGATTCAAACCATATTTTCCCAGATTGGCCCAGGGTTCACGCATGGATGAAGCCTAGAGAACAAAAAAATGGATGGCGAGTGAGATAAAATCATTCTGGAGCTAAAACACGGATTCTTTCAGTGAATATTTAAATAGGCAACCTTTTGGTCGCGAAAAAAAGGGCCAGACCATCCCAGACCCACCAGCCGGACCATTTCGTGACTTTTCATCACCTTAATGGGTGTTTGTCAAGGGATCTTTGACCCAGAAAAATGATGAAACATAGAGAAATATCTGGCAGCTGTGATAGCTCCCCTTTTTCCATGGCTAGCCGTTGAACGCCACCATGACGCGGGAAATTGGTCAAAGTCAACAGGAGACCGCACATATTCGCCGTGTGTTAGAAATTCTCCATGTTTGATATCTCAGTTCTGATCCATTCCCTACAATGTGGGGCCCCCCAGATGGCAAGGTTGGTTTACAACTACAATTTCACTAGGGTTTATGGTAATTATAACTACAATTACAGTAGATGGGCTTATAAACCAACACACATAACCTTTGCGGGCCCCACATTGATCACGTTACTAACCATGGTTACCTCTATTTCCCCACCTGCCAGGTGAGGGTTGTTAGATTTTATAAGAGTTCTTCTTCTCCTCCTCCTCGTTCTCCTCCACCACCTCTGCCTTCACTTCCATGTCCACTTCCGCCTTGCCAACTCTTCGCCAAGCTCTTCGCCAACTTCCGCACGCAGTGGGCACTGCTGGACCTCAACTGCAAGGGTCCGAGCGCACTGGGCACCGCTGGACCTCAACCTGGGACCTTCCGAGCTCAGTGAGCACCGCTGGACCTCAACCTGGGACCGTCCGAGCTCAGTGAGCACCGCTGGACCTCAACCTGGGACCGTCCGAGCTCAGTGAGCACCGCTGGACCTCAACCTGGGACCCTCCGAGCTCAGTGAGCACCGCTGGACCTCAACCTGGGACCCTCCGAGCTCAGTGAGCACCGCTGGACCTCAACGGCCAGATAGAATGCCAGAAGATATGCCAGATAGAACGCCAGATAGAGTGTCAGAAAGAATGCCAGAAGATATGCCAGAATGTTTGCCAGATAGAATGCCAGAAGATATGCCAGATAGAATGCCAGAAGGTATGCCAGATAGAATGTCAGATAGAATGCCAGAAGGTATGCCACATAAAGTGCCAGAATGTTTGCCAGATAGAACGCCAGAAGATTTGCCAGATAGAATGTCAGAAGATATGCCAGAAGATATGCAAGATAGAGTGCCAGTAGATATGCCAGAACATATGCCAGAAGATATGCCAGGTAGAATGCCAGAAGATATGCCAGATAGAATGCCAGAAGATATGCCAGATAAAATGCCAGAAGATATGTCAGATAAAATGCCAGAAGATTTGCCAGTAACAAAACGTATAGATGTCATGGTGGGGATAACTCGAAGCAAAGTAATTGGGATACCTCGCTTTTTTCTACCATAAACCCTAGAGACATATTAGTTATGGTTACGTTTACTATGGTTACTAACTAGCTATGATTAATAACTCTGGTAACTAACTATGGTTACTAACTGAAATGTGTTTCAACATTTTGGGATAGATCTCCCCGAAAAAAATCCCATCATATCAGTGACGTCACAACAGCTATGGGATGACATAACTCCTATAACTAGTTGGTTATATATCATGTGAAATATACTATAAACCCATTTAAACAACTGTTAGTTGGGCCTTTTTTCTATGGTTCATCCAGGTGTGTTCTCCAGGTCCCAGTATGTCACAGTTCTCCTTTCCCTTCGCGACCACCGTGATATTCCTGCCATACTCAAAGTCTCCACGCAGCCAATGCAACGGCTGATGCATGTCCTCACCGATGCAGAAACAAAAAGGCCGGGGGCCTTGGATCGAGATTGTGCATCGGAAAAAACAAACACAACAGTCAGTTTGCATCAAAACAACACCGTGACCGAAAAAACTATTGTACGTTTTGTTTATATAAGTCATTGTTTGTTATCTTTCAAGGGTTCCTGTAAGTCAACAAACACGGATGGAACAAAAAACAAAGAACATCCGGATCAATTCATGCATATATATATATACATACATATATACACATGTATATATATATATACCCTATGGATCCAAATATTGCCTGAGAAGGTGCTTAACCCCCTAAATCATACCCCAAGTACTTCCTAAAAGGTACTTGGATCCATAGGGATATATATATATATTATAATATTATCTTAGAAAATAACAAAGCTACTTTTACTATTGATCGGAACAAACAAATGCGTATCTTAATGTTGGGGCAACAAAAAAAACATCCAGGTGAAAATGGAAAACAATGTCATGTTTACCATCCCCAATGACTCACCATTTTTATAGGTGGGATTCGTTTACCAGTCCCAGTCATGGCTGGTTTATTGTTTTACCCACATCATTCTTTGTGATTTTTCTTGTCATTGGAGTATAATTACAACCCCCGGCTGTATGTTTTGGCCAGTGAAACCCAAGGGTAGTGAAACCTAAGGGTAGTTTCCTGCAACATATATCCGTTCCTAAAATACTTCATTTTGCACAAAGCAATATCATCTGGGCTTACACCGCTGACTTCCCAAGGGCTAAAAGGTCAGGAGACAGGCGGAAAAGCGCTAGAAAGCCTGAAATTGAACATGATCACCACATATCTACAATCTACACATGTTCATGAATTTGAAAGCCTATATGAACATGATCTACAATCTACACATTTTCATGGATTTCCATGGATTTTGCACATCTTTCTCTATGGAAAAAATGGGTTTGGCACCGTTGATCAATCCAGACCCACGGTCCCCCACGAAGATGGCGAGCCAACGCAACTCGTCTTCCGGTGTCTTCAACATGTCCTTTTTGCAAAGCGCAGCTCAAAAGCCAAAGGAAAAGTGGGAAAAGTGTGGGAAATACCGTGGCAAACATCAAATCCATCAACAGTTTGGGAAACTTCTATGATTTTTACAAAAACTGATGTGAGTGACATAGTCCATGTCAGTTGCCACTTTCTTCGGCAGCAAGGGAGTCGAAATTTCGCACCAGTTCATCAACCCTTGAGATCAGCTTAATTTGATCCTTGGAATTGATCCTTGGAATTGCCTCGATCGCAGTGAACCAGCCACTAGGACTGACTGTCCCTTCAATGTAAGCAACACCGTTTCTGACATTCGTCGTGAGTTTGTCAGTTCTGAGAGGTGCCTGAACACCACCAGACTGTCTAACTGTCCAGCTGCGCGTTTGACACATTGACCCCAGCAAACAGTGCTCTGGTGTTGGGAGCAACCCTGTCATCACATGATGACTTGTTGTGGAATGATTGTAGTTTCAAAACTTCCATTTCTTAATGTGGCGTTATGGGTTTACCCAGAAGTTACCCTCATGCTTTTCATCAAACTAAATGAAGCAATTTCCATTTCTGTGTTTAGTGTACCTCAAACAAGTGCAGTTCCACTTATACCTGGATTTGTAACCAGAGTTAAAAGGGTTACATCCCAACCTATTGGGGATTGTTACAACTGTTATACCCATACCCAGCTATAAGTACTTATAATCCCCATTTATGGAATGTATAATCCAATTTAAAACCAGTTATAACATGTTATAACCATTTATAATTGGTAAATGGCCACAATTGCATTTTTTTCACCCCAACTGCACCCCAATTGAACCCAGGAAAACTGGCAGAATCCCAGCATCCGAATAGTGAGCGGCTTCTGGCAACTGCTTGAAGTTGGACCAGTAATCCGAAACGGGCATCCTCCGAGAAGAGTGAGAGGATGCCAAAATCTATGGCAATTTCTTGAGGAATTACAGGGAAAAAAACAACGTTAATGGTTATTTAACGGCATAAACTTGGATTTATATCAAATTTTACGTTTGGGATTCAACCATCCAACAGTAGGAATGAAATGGGATTTGAATGAATTGAATAATGATGGATATGAACCATAGTTGGGGTGGTTTTGATGGGAATAACATGGTGCACCTCAAAAAAAAGCACTTTACAAGTGGGACATATTGTAAATGATTGTAGACAGAAACAGATAAAATCAACTTGATATGTTTCCTTTGGTCAAGTAAAAAAATGGGCTAAATATTAGGATCAATGGGGTGCTGGATTGTTCCGACCGTCCCCTCTTGGGGCTGCCGTACGGGACGAGAACTTCGACATAATGACATCATGGTGAACTTCTACAGAGAAGGCACATGACATGTGGATCAAATCATCTGGTCCCTCTGTGGTTGATTAATAGTGGTTAATAGTGATTAATAGTGATTAATACCTGATCTAATGAATAATATATCTGGTTGGTGGTATACCTATCCCTCTGAAAAATCACAATCTGTCAGTTCGATTCAGTTGGGGGTATTATTATCAACTGAATGGATAAACAAACAATGTTCCAAACCACCAACTAGTAATTGTTTGGCTTTGAGAACCAGCAAAAACAGACTCTCATGATGAAGCTTCTCTGCAAATCATTGTCAAGCTTCCAGCTTAGAAACCGCAGGCACTACCAGTACTCAGCAAATGTGTTCAACACTGCAGTTAATCACTGCAGTTAAGGCCCTTTACCAGTTATAAGTCAGTAAGTCACCCGACTTATGGCATAACAACCCCATTTATAACAATTTAAAACCATTTCTAACTAGTAGAGGGCCATAACACTCACTGCATCAGTCCTGAAGAAATCCGACTGGGGATATTCTCGCATCAGAGCATCCTAGGCGCGGTGACCGTTGGTGACATCCCATGAAACGTCGAAAGTTCACCGACTCATCAGTCACTAGGATAACTGGTTGGTGGTTGAGCCTACCCATCTGAAAAATGATGGGGTTCGTCAGTTGGGATCATGAAATTCCCAACTGAATGGAAAAATAGAAAGTGTTCCAAACCACCAACCAGATAATTTTACAACTTCAATGAAGGCTATTAATGTGGGTAAAACATTGATACACCACCACATGTTTGATGGTTTATACCATCCATTTATGGTGATTTTGGGGATGGTTTATTATTGTTTTCAATGAAGGCTACCCTCTGGTAATTTGTTACATAGCTTTTGAACATGGCACATTCATAGTTGATTTACCTATTAAAGATTGTGATTTTCCGTAGTTATGTTAAATTACCGGAGGGTAAGACAATGTACTACCTGCAGGTTTCCTAAAATCGAGGTACCCCGAAATCATCCATGTCCGTAGGATTTTCCATGATAAACCATCCGGCTATTGGGGTACTCCCATTTGAAGAAATCCCCCATATGCCATATGGGACATCAGGCCTTTTGAAATGTTCAGGATCCTAAAATGGATGTACGTTACTGTACTATACAAGATCATATTTTGTGAGGATATTCCCTTACATAGGCCTAAAACATATACCTAAACTAATGGTAGGTGCCTTCAATAAATCGGTTCCTGTTGCATGGCCATTGAACATCGGGCTTTACCGGGATGATATTTTTGTGATACACACGTATCCTGAAGGGTTTGTATCAAGGTGAGGTGCCATGAATGGCGAATGTGTATCGTCATTAACCAACTGCAACCTCATCTGAGCGATTTAAAGCTGATCACATATCTGAATCTGAAGTGAGCAAGTGGGTAGCGTCATATCAAAGATGTCCATGAGAAGCAAAAACCACAGGGTTAGCTCGTGCCGCTGCTAGTGATTATAGATGTCATTACTGTAGCCCTTCCTACAACCGTGAGGTGTTTGTTACTGTCAGTTGAAACAAGAGGGTAAATAGAAAGAAGGTGTATCCTTCTTGTGGTTGCCCTGGGTTCGCCTGGCGCCCAAATTGCTTCGACAATAAGCCACAACTCACGACAACATACTTGCCAGCAACCATTCTGAAAGTTCCATCTGCGCAAACTTTCAACCATTTCCAGTTGGCTATTCGTTTGACTGTCTCCTTGACTAATTTGGGATTCATGAAAATGAAGCACAGTTCCGCGTCCATTTGGCTGTCAACAAGTACCAGCATATCATCCATGGTTGCAGAATCCAACGACGGTAGAGATCTGGCTAAGCACTCAAAATCGCCCACTCTCCACTCCCGGTGCCCAACAATTTTGCCTTCCTGCAACAGACACACATTTGAAGACCGAAACTATTCACTGTACAAAGCCATTGGGGAACTTGGAGTCTGATGTCGCCATCCACGTCCATCGTTTAGGAGAAACCAAATAAGCGTCACATGCAGTAGAAAGTTGGAGCTAATATAAACGTCTGCGCATTCAAAACAGTAGTGACTCATCTACGCACATGTGATCAAACATGGCAAATGTGAAATCCCCGCATGAATTGGAGGTTTATAGCTGGGAAAATCATCGAATCACATGGGAGATTTTCCAGCAAGCCACGTTTGATACCAGAGGGTAAGTCGATGAAAATTTCAGGATCCTACAATTTAGGTATTGTACCATATAAGATCATATTTTGTGGGGATATTCCCTCACATAGGCATTATATGGCCTAAAATAATGGCAGGTACCTCCAATAAATCGGTTCCTGAAATGGCCACTGAGTAAGTCAGGTTTGTGGACTAGGAATGGCTACCACTTCGAGAAGAATCCATCATTCTTGCTGAAAACTCAAGGCACATCCCAGATTTGTAGCGTAACTCCCTGCATTGTTTCATCATAAAGAGGTGCCCTTTCCAAGAAACCCTTTCCCAACTATAGTAAAAATTATGGATAGTTTTTTGGTCTATAGTGCCCTAGATTTATGATGTGTTATGTACTTGATCGTTACAGTATAGTACAATGTGGGGCCCCCAAACGCTATGTTTGTTGGTTTATAACCCCTTCTAACTAGTTCGTTATAACTACCATAAACCCAGACTCCAGTCGTGAAATTCTAGTGATGTTCACCAACTTAGCATATATATATATATATATCAGCAACCAAAATCCTCATCAATCAGCATTTTTCATGGTGAAACCACCATTTTCCCTATGCGGTTTCCCTATGGTTTCCCTAGGAGATTGACCTGACACCTACCCGGGTTAACAGAGGTCACCCTCTCACTATAATCCGTTGATCATTGCCAGTCGCCGACGTTGTCGTCCCTGGGTTTGTCTGAAAATGACACATACCTTTATTGTCTGGTTGGTGGTTTCAACCCCTTTGAAAAATATTAGTCAGTTGGGACTATTATTCCTAATGTATGGAAAATAAAAAATGATTCAAACCACCAACCAGTTATCTAGATGGGGATCCCATTTTTTGATGTTTATAGATGTTGATATCCAAAGAAAAGCAAAACACTTGCAAATTATGATGGTGATATTTGGATTTGTCTTAACATGGATTATATATGTTTGTCGGTTTGTAAACCCTATGAATACGATAGATATATCTACCATAAACCACACTTAACCCCGTTATAAACCAACTAAAGCCATGTCCTGTAAACCGAAACATGGTTATTTCACTGGATTCAGGGCTACGTGTAACGTTTAGACAGACCCAATTTCTCTTTATCAAAGTGGCATCAATTTCCCAATGTCAACGTCAACCCTGGATTGAATGGATACAATGTGGGGCCCCCCTTCACGATAGCTAAGTTGGTTTACTTGCCTAAGTTAAGTACGGTTTATGGTAGATATATCTATCCCTATGGATCCAAATACTGCCTGAGAAGGTACGGCTAACCCCCTAAATCATACCCCAAGTACTTCCTAAGAAGGTACTTGGATCCATAGGGTATAGTATTCATGGGGGTTCGCAAGCAACAAACATAGCGTTTGGGGGGCCCACATTGCCCAACCGGCTTCGTGAACTGGGTCTCCGCAAATCGTGATGCTACGAGTCATACTTCAATGGCAACCTCCCAAATTATAAACCTGGTTGGTGGTTTCAACCCCTCTGAAAAATATTAGTCAGTTGGGATTATTCTTCCCAACTGAATGGAAAAATAAAAAATGCTTCAAACTTCAAACCACCAACCAGAAACAGTGCAGCAGGCTTCATCAACATGACTTACCCCCTCTGGTGTCATCAAACGTGGCTGGAAAAATCTCCCATTTACCCTCTGGTAATTTGTTACATAGCTTTTGAAAATGGCACATAGAAATAGTTGATTTACCTATTAAAGATGGTGATTTTCCAGTTCGCAACATGTAAGTTTACCAGAGGGTAGTTCATTCATTTGGTTCTATGATTTTCACGAACAACACCTCCATTTCCGGGATTTATTTCCCCATGGAAAACCTGCCATCTTTCGACGAAAAAATCACCGAGGCTCGTAGGAAAACTTTTGGAAGGTCAGACTGACGGCACCTGATTTTACTGATTTGGCCATCGACAAAGTCGTGAAAAGCCACCATGTTCAATCTGATTGGTGGTTGAAAAAACCCCTCCGAAAAATATGGGAATTGTTGGGATTATTCCAACTGAATTGAAAAATAAAATTAATGTTCCAAACCACCAGCCAGTAACAATATAAGTGTCAACTCTCAAATATGCGGTTTAAATTAATGGTATTAACCTGATTCTCGTCTTGGCATTCTTCAGAATGGTTGATCGCATCTGGCAGATGCAAATATAGTTTGCGAGAATGTCCATTATTGGATCAGAACACGTTCTCTAGGAACAATGTAATCATAATCAGTATGAATAATCAAAGTAGGTTGTGTTGATGTGAACATAGATGGACTTTTCATCTTCATGAACTAGTGGGAATAAACATTATCGTTTCAGGAATGCACCCAGTGCCCGCCATGAAAATTTGACGCAACTTCAATTTTCACAGACAGGGACCACCACATATCAAGACTTGGGCTTTCTAGGTGGTATCATGTAAGTGGAATGGATTAAACACAAGTGCTTTCCGGAACCACCTAATCTTTGATTTGTATAATTCTATTAAGCTATCAGAATGAAACCAGTTCAATTGATGTTTCGAAGCCAACGTAACATGAACCAACAGAAGGCATTTACCTTTGATTCGGGGCGCGAAAATGAACCAGGGCGCCAAAATGAATTGTTGTGACAGGGCTATTTTTTTGACGGAAATGGTCAAACTTACATGAAATGCTGAGAAGCACAAAATCTGCTGAAAAGCATGTTTTGTTGTGACATGTCTATTTTTTTTGATGGAAATGGCGAAACTTACATGAAATGCTGAGAAGCACAAAATCTGCTGAAAAGCATGTTTTGTTATGACATGTCTATTTTTTTGATGGAAATGGCGAAACTTACATGAAATGCTGAGAAGCACAAAACCTGCTGAAAAGCATGTTTTGTTGTGACATGTCTAATTTGTTTTAACGGAAATTGTGAAACTTACATGAAATGCTGAGAAGCACAAAATCTGCTGAAAAACATGTTTTGTTGTGACATGTCTATTTTTTTTGATGGAAATGGCGAAACTTACATGAAATGCTGAGAAGCAGGTCATGCTGAGAAGCAAAAAATATTTGCTGAAAAGCATGTTTTGTTGTGACATGTCTATTTTTTTGATGGAAAAATAAAATAATTTAATGGATGTTTGATTGGGGAACATTCAAGAAACACCCAAAAACTGGAACTAAAAGGTATGGTCGATTTATTTTTCGTATATATTTACATGACACCATGGAAACGTTTTTTGGTAGTTTTCTTTTGTGCTGATAAGCAATATTTTCCTGAGAAGCAATTACTGTGCTGAGAAGCACTGAAAAACAAACCTAAATCGAAATGCCATGAGTACCATTTGTCCAATCACTCAATGTCACCAGCCCCAGGTATGTTGAACAAAAACTTCAAGATTTGTTTCAACTGTAGATTTAATTTACATGACATGAATCCATGTAGGATCCAATCAAGGAAATATTGAATAGTATAGTTAAATGGGGCCTTCTTAGTATCTGTCCTGTCAGGAACCTTTCAGGCACTGTCCATCCTCGAGCACTTCAAGATCTTCAGGTCTCACTGTGTTGAAAAGCACGATGCTGAAAAGCATCAGAGACCGAGTTGAAAAACTCTTTCCAGCCGAAAGGCTGTGTGATAGTGCTGAAAAGCACAGGTGCTGAAAAGCACCCTCGTCGCACAGGGCGACAGGCTGGGAGTTTCACCTGGCATCCCAGTGCCAGCCTTTTTTTTTGTAAACGGCTGACGCCAAGGTCAGTCCCTCCAAGTAAACTTGCCATGCAAGCAGTGAAACCTTGGGAAGTCTCATCCAGTATGAGTGGGATGTCGGGTGCCCTTCTCACTGCAGCCAGTGTCCATCGGCCCATTTGGGTGGGGGCGGCCTTAAGTGGACCCTCCCGGCACTGTCTCTGTGGGTCGGAAAATCTCGTCTCTCCAGGATACGGTGGGATGCACCAAGGGAGTAACTGGTTGTCATGGGGAGTTGAAGGAGGATACTAAAAAAGGGGATGGGTGCACCCCCCTGCCAGGTTGAAGACGCATACACATACTGCATGGACTCACCAACATGCTGGCACATGCGTGCATACATATCTGACTGAGGTTCATCGCAAATCAGCTGGCAACTTTTCAATCCCAGCCAGTGATTTGTGATGAACTTCAGGCAGGCTCATCACAAATCAGCTGGCAACTTGTTAATCCCAGCCAGTGATTTGTGATGAACTTCAGTCAGGTTCATCACAAATCAGCTGGCAACTTGTTAATCCCAGCCAGTGATTTGTGATGAACTTCAGTCAGGTTCATCACAAATCAGCTGGCAACTTGTTAATCCCAGCCAGTGATTTGTGATGAACTTCAGTCAGGTTCATCACAAATCAGCTGGCAACTTGTTAATCCCAGCCAGTGATTTGTGATGAACTTCAGTCAGGCTCATCACAAATCAGCTGGCAACTTGTTAATCCCAGCCAGTGATTTGTGATGAACTTCAGTCAGGTTCATCACAAATCAGCTGGCAACTTGTTAATCCCAGCCAGTGATTTGTGATGAACTTGACTGAGGTTCATCACAAATCAATACCACATGGTTGTTCATCACAAAATGACCTATCCAAAGAAACCTGGATTTGTGATGAACCTGACTGAGGTTCATCACAAATCACCCTGTTCCCCAGGCACAGGTATGAAAAGAATCATTGAAAAACTGATCCAAGGTCTTGAAGACAGTATGATTTTGTGATGAACCTCAGTCAAGTTCATCACAAACTGAGGTAGTCTCGCCGATCTTGATTTGTGATGAACAGCAACTTCATTCATCAGAAATTCAAGTTCTAGGCCACTTCCGGTTCCTTAGAAGTCTAGCCATGGGTTCAACCGAAATCGAATCATTTGTGATGAGTGTGATGCCTCAAGAAATTTTGGATCAAAGGCGCTTCAAGTGCCTTCTTTCTTCCTGCACTTCGTGAGGACACGTCTGGGCGGATGATTGCAATCTTTCACGGTGACAGTAATTCGTCTGACTCCTGTGTGTGCCTTTTCTGTGCTGAAAAGCACGGACTTCTTGTGCGGAAAAGCACAGCTAAAGATAGCTTTATTCAGTCTACCTTTTTTGCAAAACAATTGACACGCATGACTGCTGACCAACTACAAAGAAACATGTCAGCAGTATTCCTGGTGAAAAGTTGGTTCCCATGCCACATACCAAACTTTTTTCCATCCCCTGTCATCATTGGATCCCAAGAAAATACACGACCGTAAAATTAGAATCATACTTCTTGAGGTAGTGATAGTGAATTTCACCATGATGATGTTTTGATTGTCCTTGCATGCTGCACGCACACACATACATATATATATATATATACAGACACACCTAGGTTAAATATCACTCACGCGGGGAGTGAACATACTTGTGAGCTCGCTGTATACTGCACACATTCTTGGGTACACAGTCTCTGTATGCGCGTGCGTGCGCGTGTACGCTTGTACGTTTGGTGAGTCCATGCAGTATGTGTATGCGTCTTCAACCTGGCAGGGGGGTGCACCCATCCCCTTTTCTAGTATCCTCCTTCAACTCCCCATGACAACCAGTTACTCCCTTGGTGCATCCCACCGTATCCTGGAGAGACGAGATTTTCCGACCCACAGAGACAGTGCCGGGAGGGTCCACTTAAGGCCGCCCCCACCCAAATGGGCCGATGGACACTGGCTGCAGTGAGAAGGGCACCCGACATCCCACTCATACTGGATGAGACTTCCCAAGGTTTCACTGCTTGCATGGCAAGTTTACTTGGAGGGACTGACCTTGGCGTCAGCCGTTTACAAAAAAAAAGGCTGGCACTGGGATGCCAGGTGAAACTCCCAGCCTGTCGCCCTGTGCGACGAGGGTGCTTTTCAGCACCTGTGCTTTTCAGCACTATCACACAGCCTTTCGGCTGGAAAGAGTTTTTCAACTCGGTCTCTGATGCTTTTCAGCATCGTGCTTTTCAACACAGTGAGACCTGAAGATCTTGAAGTGCTCGAGGATGGACAGTGCCTGAAAGGTTCCTGACAGGACAGATACTAAGAAGGCCCCATTTAACTATAATATTCAATATTTCCTTGATTGGATCCTACATGGATTCATGTCATGTATATTAAATCTACAGTTGAAACAAATCTTGAAGTTTTTGTTCAACATACCTGGGGCTGGTGACATTGAGTGATTGGACAAATGGTACTCATGGCATTTCGATTTAGGTTTGTTTTTCAGTGCTTCTCAGCACAGTAATTGCTCCTCAGGAAAATATTGCTTATCAGCACAAAGAAAATCAACATATTTACAAAAATAAATCGACCATACCTTTTAGTTCCAGTTTTTGGGTGTTTCTTGAATGTTCCCCAATCAAACATCCATTAAATTATTTTATATTTTTCCATCAAAATAAACATTTCACAACAAAACATGCTTTTCAGCAGGTTTTGTGCTTCTCAGCATGACCTGCTTCTCAGCATTTAAGTTTCACCATTTCCGTCAAAAAATAAACATTTCACAACAAAACATGCTTTTCAGCAGATTTTGTGCTTCTCAGCATGACCTGCTTCTCAGCATTTAAGTTTCACCATTTCCATCAAAAAAAATAGGCATGATAATGTCACAACAAAACATGCTTTTCAGCAGATTGTGTGCTTCTCAGCATGACCTGCTTCTCAGCATTTCATGTAAGTTTCACCATTGATATTTGGCGCCCTGATTCATTTTGGCGCCCCGAATCAAAGGTAAATGCCTTACAAGCACTCCTGCGAAATACAACCTGCCAATCATTATATAAATCTCCCCGGTTCGCACATGGTGCACCAAGGGACACAGAAGCGAGAAGTATCCTTGGATCCAGCTGATGCTGCTGGATGCAACCGAAAGAACCGTTTGTGAGGGGTGCAAACTGTGCAAGACAATGCAAGACACTATAAAGACCAAACACACCAGAACATTACAAAGTGAAATATATTGCTCGTTCTGATCATTCAGCCCGGTCAAGATCGAAAAAGAATACCAAAATATCTTGGATCCCAAACACAAAAGCACAAAACAACGTTCTTACATTTGTCAAGGCAAATAACCCAACTGATGTGTCACCTTCGCTAAAACTGATGGCTCCAATCTGCTCTTTTCACTAGGGATTGCAACAGGAAAGGGATTGCAACTGCATCAGTTGCAATTCTGATCACACACAATTACTGGTTGGTGGTTGACCTACCCCTCTGAAAAATATGAGTTGGTCAGTTGGGACTATTGTGCCCAACTGAATGGAAAAATAAAAAATGTTCCAAACCACCAACCAGAATTACAGATATCCTTGGATCAACGGGCTTACAACTTACAACCCAGATTTTTGCAGCTGCAAATTGGCATTAAGGTAGGTGGCATGCCGGCATGTTGTACCAAGTGGCCTGCTTCTGAGCCATCGCAATGAACCTGCGATTGGCTGAGTGTTCAGGTTGAAGTTGCACGTGTCAACTAGCTACAAATCGAGGGCTTCAGGTTCCTCCAATCAGGGTAGATCATCATAATTTACCCTCTGGTAAACTAACATAGCTATTGGAAATGGCCATTTATAGTGGATTTATCCATTAAAAATGGTGATTTTTCATAGTTACGTTAGTTTACCAGAGGGTACTAAGCTAAAATAATGTTATTGTGCCACTAAGGGATTGTTAACCACGCAATCCTGACTATCCTGCTAAGTGACGTCGTGACGGCATGGGGTCATTGTAATTCATCATACATGTCCATACCGAAGCCATCCAAATCCCAGTAAAACCACATTTAGTTGGCTTCCAGGTCATTAACTGTAGATATATCCACCATAAAACTTTGTAAAATGTGCCAACTTAGCTACGTCCCATTGAACTCCCATTGAAATCCCGTTAAAATCCATCAGTTGGTTTGACCCCATTAACTAGTTTGATAGAGCTAGGATCCAAAAAGCAAAGAATTCACCTTGTCATAAACTTTGTTATAAACCAACTTAGCTATCATAAATCAGCTGTAATCCCATTAGATCGGAGTTGTTCTTGTCAAATCACAATTTTCCTACGGTTTCATTTTCGTCAACGGAGGCTCAAACAAGTGTCCAAATATGTGGATTGTAACAAGCAAAACCAACCGCCATCCATTGGAATTTCCACTTTATGTCAATCTTTAGAAACTTTATTTGGCCATAAAATACGTTGGATTTACTTTGCCAAGGAGGCCAACATATTATTTGGACAACCTATGCCATTGGATTTACCGAAGCCATGAGTTGTTTCTATTCCCTCATTTTTGGCCTCAAGATGTGATGATGACTATGTTTGAAACTAAGCATGGGTCAAAATTGAGGGAAAATCTACAGTACATTGAACCCCCCCATTCTTAGATAGCAGAACTGGCAATACCATGGATTTCTCTAGATTCCTTTCATCAACCCAGCCAGCAAGGGAGTCTGAAAAACCGCAGCTGCGGAGTTGTTTCTTGCCTTAACCATCCAATATCACAATGATAGTTTATATCCCATGATCCCTACCATATCCCTGTTCTATCCCTATTATGGCTACTTCTATTCCCATCACCATGGTCTTTATTTGTTGAAATCTTTCTGTTGGAGGTGCCGCCCTGTCTCGCGCACAGCGGCTGGCGAGTCCTTCGGGAAAATCCTTTGGATGAGTTCTGACTGAAACTGGAGAGTCACAAGGGTCTCTCTGGTGTGTTACCCTCTGGTAAACTACATAGCGAACTGGAAAATCACAATGTTTAATGGGTAAATCAACGAACTGTCTATGGCCATCTTCAATAGCTATGTTTGTTTACCAGAGGGTATCCCATTTGTTCATCTTCAAAAATGGATCAGAGTTTCCTGTCACGCTCGCTCGGCGCTCGTTCTTGTTGTTTTTTTAGCGGCTTCCATCTGAGGCTTCCTAGAAATCTCCGAACTGATTGAGCTAATACAAACTTCTTGGGGGATCGCAGCGACATTAGTAAATCATTTCAAAATTGGGAAGTGTTACAAAAAAAGAAAACACTCGCAAGTATCCTTATAATTCATCCAGATGTAAAGACATGTTCATACCAATTCCAGTGGATATATTTCCATTGATATTTATATATGTTTAAATCCCAATATCATGTTCACCTGGTGCAATCAAACAACTTAGTTAAATACAATTAAAATCCCATTACACAATCCTATTAAAATCCTTTATACACCATTTATAGTTATCACCGCTATTTCCTAGTGAAATCAGTTACACAACTATTGAATACACGTGCAATATCCACCATATTAACACCATACATCTAAATCATATGGATATATCTGGCCAAAAACAAAAACTACTATAAATCAACTATAAATCCTACGAAATCACACATTTTGTTATCCAAGTGTTATCCCATGTTTGTCCCATTATTATTATCTCATTTCTAGCTGACTTTCCCTTTGTAACATCCATTGGTTACCGACTTTTACCTCCAGTCGGTTAACTCATCTTAAATCACCATTGTCCTATGGTTACTATTGTTCTTGTCGCTTAAATCATCATATTTGTTGCAGTGAAGAGGCCCAACTAAGAGTTATAAATGGAATGACATAACTCCTATAACTAAGGTTATATATCATGAAATAAGCCCACTTATAACTGTTATTTGGGCCATAAATGTAATTTCAGACCATAATTGTTAGGAGATGTTGGGATAAATCATGTTAAATCACCAACATCTCCCAACAAATCATGTTAACATGTTGAGATATTGGGATAATCATATTTTCTTGATGGGTTCTTGGTTGGGAGATCCCCCGGAGTCTTTCATCTCCCAGCCTTCCCTTGGCGTCCAATGCCCTGGCCACATTGCCTTGAGCCCGGTCTCCCGTACGAATCCGGGATTTGCCCAAGAAATGGCGGGAAAAAAAGGTAGAAAAAAACGGTGGATTTGAGGATTTAGCCTAGAAAAATGGATGGGATGGTGGATTTGGAGGATTTGCACTATAAAATTTGGTGGGTTTTAAAAGTGTGTCTCTTAGAAACAATGGTCGATGTGGAGGATTTGCCCTATAAAAAATGTGAATTTATATGGATTTGTCGGATTTACATAATTTACATTTAAAAAAAACATGTTGATGTTTTAATGACCAAACTTTAAAAATACCACTCGGAACATGTGATATTTGGTGACGGTTATAAGCGGCTGCAACTAGGTACGTCCACACATTAACACAAATAAATATAATATAATATAATGTGGAAATGGGATAGCTAATAGGACAAGTACAATAACTGATGATGATTGCAATAGGGACAAGTACAATGAGGCGCCATATTTTTGGAGTGTCCAATTCTGAAACATACCCGCATGAGCGAAGCATATTCAAGGACACAGCCACTAATTCTTGAGCGATTCCAAACACATTATTTTGTGTTAGTGCATGTTTTCATAAATGTGCGTTCTCTTCAAAATTCCCGTGGCCATTTGGGTCTGGGAAGACCGCTGGCTTTGGGGTCAGGTATTTTAGGCCCCCTTGGGAGGAGTCAGGGCCACCGGTACCTGTGGCCCTGGGAAGGTGTCATCATCTTCACTTTGAGGTCAGGCATCTCCGTGAGCAACTGCGGCGGGAAAGTGCGTAGGCAATTGTTCAGATCCATCAGGAAGGCCGTGTAGAGCGTGGAGACAGCGTTCTCTTCAAAATTTGTTTCTCGTGGCCATTTGAGTCTGGGAAGAACGCTGGCTTTGGGGTCAGGTTTTCTAGGCCCCCTTGGGAGCACGGGGCTGCGCCCAAGCGTTCGGAGAGATTGCTCCCGATCTTGCAAGACAGCATAGAGACAGCAGAGAATCACCAACGAGAGCTGTTCGTTCTGGCTGGACGTAATGCGAGGGTACTCCATGGCACTGACAGGTTGAAGCTCTTGATTATCCTGACTGATTGTCGGTGAGCTAGTACACTTTGGCTTGTGCCGGTCTATGGGCGGTTGCCTATACCCCTCTTCATAGGTAATGTATGGTAACGTTTCAGTCAGAAAATACTTTTAGCAAAGGATTTTTTCCACTGCCATGTTTGATTCGTGGAGGGGAACTAACCAGGTTTTGAACTCTATGGTCCACATGTTCGCTTACAGGAGGGCAATGTCAAACACCCATACAAGGTGCTGCCCACCAGTCATGTTTATTGGTTTATAACACCTAATGACTATAGATGTATCTACTATCAGCCATAGAATTCACTGAACTGAACCAACTTAGCTCTCTGGAAACACCTTGTAGTCGGATGATTATACCAATGTCATGTGAGCCATTAAAAATACCGCTATCCCATCTCATTATTAACTAGTTGGTTGATAGGTTTACCTCCTATGGGTTATCATAATCCCCAGTAAACCAGGTAGTATAATCCCATATAGCAATCAATTAACCATGGTATTTTTAACTAATGGCTCTTGTGTATTATATAACGATTTTCCCCTTCCCCGAGGTCTTTGCGGCTCCGGACCACTCAGGCTTCTGGTGATGGAAATGACACATGGATGTCTCTGGCACCTCAAAGCCGGAGCAGCCAAAACTATGGGAGTTTGACCATGAAGAATGGGGGATTCACCAACCAAAAAAGGGGCTTTAGCATAGTTTAAGCATCCTGAAATGATATGACCATATATGAAATAAATGGTAAATACATCCTCTGAGACCAAAAAATGAATAGGTCCAAGACTAAGCCATGATAACTGCTGGTAGTTCCATCCCTCTGAAAATTGACAAATTCCAGTGCCAAATGCAAAGTGTCTAGAGGGTGTCTACTATTATTGGCATGAGATTAAGCAGGAAATCAAAAGTGCAAAAACTGATTTCTTGCTACTGTTTCCTACTTTGCTGGCAAAGTTGCTAGTCTCTTACATTGTTGGCTGCAAGCCAGTAGTAAAAAAACAGTATACCCTAAACAGTGTCGCTGGGTTGTTGAAGGTGTAAGGTCGCAGGTCCCTCACAAAGGTGCCTCCTTGTCAATCTAGAACCCTCAAAAAACAAACTATAGATATACCATCCTTGAACCCAATCATTACCCTAGTTATAAATCAACTTTGCTAACTATGGGGCACCAGCTTCTACCACAAAGTCTTTTTGGTGCGATATCAAGTATGGTTCCAAACCAAAATACCAAACAACCCTTGGCCAAATCTCAGATCGTCAAAGATAATCAGCAACTTTTGGATATTTTTGTGAAATGGCCATTTATTAGTTATGTTAGTTAAAACTGGTTATTTCTATGGGATTATACATTCCATAAATGGGGTGACTTGTTAGTACTTCATTGCATTCATTGCGACGAGATATCTGCAGTGAAGGAGAGCCTTCTGGCATGATAAAATTGTAGCGTCTTGGGCAATCGTCATGTTCCCGGCATCTCGCATAGACCGACCAAGCCTTCTTCGATCGAGTTGGCGCAGTGAAATCCTTCAGAAGAACTTTGTTCTGATCCGTCCAGCTGTCAGCCAACTGGTAAAGGGCCATAACTGTAATCAAGTATCCCCATTTGTCGCCAAAAAAAAGTATTCTGTTGAGATTATCCTTTCGCAAGGTGGAGAACCACAAGATAGCTAAGCAATAGCAAGCAAGTCTATTATATCTCGTATATGTGATATTGTATCTCATATTACCATATTGCTATATATTATTAGCTATATTATATGTGCAATATACAGATGAATGTAGACTAAATATGATATATATATATGATATATACATTAGATAACTAATGCTATATCGCAATCACATACAATAGTTTTTATTTGACACCGACAAACAGGGGAGGACATCACCTTGCAGTTGACATATGAAATGCCCAGCAGCCGTGAGTTTCTGCTCATAGTGTGCAAAATCCACCAGGTCGCCCTTCAACATATCTTTCACCTTGCCGCAAGGCCGATACGTAGATGGTGGCTAAGGAAGTCCGGAAGAAGATGCGGAAAGGAAAGGACACATCAATGGCCTTTTCCCCAGAAGAAACAAATCCAAAGATTTTGTTGCAAAGGGATTTGATTAGATATCTAGTACTTTCCTGCAACAAAATCTTTGGAAAGAGGATTTCTTTGCAATCAGATCATTTTTTCTAGTACTAAGATTAATATTAGATAATATTAGTTTTGTTTTTTGAGGGATTAGACTACTATCAATATCAATACTAAAATTAGGGATTAGATCTAGTACTATCAAGTTATTGGATTAATATCAAAATTAATATCGAATTAGGAAGTTGTTCTAAAGTTCTTGATAGTGATGAAAAATGGTTAGAATATCTAATCTAGATTCTTACTAAATGTTAATATTAGATCAATACTAAAATTGCTCTACTGTGGATGGTTGCGAAATCCTGCATCACCTTGGATGGTTGAAACCAAAGACAGTACCCTCTGGTAAACTGTTACATAACTATGGAAAATCACCATTTTCAATGGGTAAATCCACGAACTAAATTGGCCATTTTCAATAGCTATTTTGACATAACCAGAGGGTAAATCATTGGATGTTTACCACCTACCAACTGGTGATTCGGATTTCGCTGGCCCATCCACTGATTTCGTACGAGCAGAGCGGATCCAGAACCGATCGACCCCACCATGGCGAAAAGAGCGGCTCACCTTCTAGGAGTTAAAAATGAATATAAATGGGAATAGGATATTACACTAGTCCATTTATATCCTATATCAATCCCTATAACAGCCTTATCATGGAGATAGGCAAATAGATATGTAGCCATCTTAGCATGAATCCCATTATGTATTCCTGTATCCCAAGATATTCTCATTATCTTCCCATCAAATCAGCGTTATATTCCTCATATTAGATCACCTATGTTGGTTTGTAAGTCCCATTGCCTATAGCTATAAGTACCATAAACCATAGTTATTGGAGTTATTTGGCCCAACTTAGCTATGTAGGGGCACCACCTTGTAACCATACCAATTCTGGTTGCTGGCTTCAACCATCTTGAAACATATTAGTCAATGGGAAGGATGATCCCATATATTATGGAAAATAGAACATGTTCCAAACCACCAATCTGAATCATGATATAACCAATCGATTCATACTTGAGTTTGACTGAAAATCTGGTACTTACCTCAAATTATCTCCAATGGATTGCTATCATTACCCCTAGCAAAGTGACCCTTTGAAGGCTATAAGCCAATTTTCAAACAAACCCATTTTGCTACGTATACATCTAGCATTATATGATACCATATAGTTCTAGGTGAGACTCTCTTCTAAATGTGAACTATACTTATATAATACCATATCTTAATGATGTGAACTATAGTTAAAACATGGCCAAACTTAGATACCCTGGAACAAAATAAATTCTTAGCTGGGTAGTAGGTAATCCCACTGATACCAAAAGACTAGTTGGGATTAGTTTCTACCCATCCAAGATTGACCTAGTAAATACACGTATGGTCCTTTACCAGTTATAAGTACTGACAAGTCACCCCATTTATAGAATGTATACCCTCTGGTACACATACAAAAAACTATGGAAAATCACCATGTTTCATGGGAAAATCCACTATTTCTATGGTGATTTTCTATAGCTATTTTGACATAACGGTCATTTTCAATAGAAAACTGTTCACATAACCAGAGGGCAATTCCATAGAAACAGCCAGTGAAATATCTAATAGCCATGGCAGTTTTAAATAATCCTCAGTTGGGATGCAGCCCTAACTTAACTATAGTTATAAATCCAGATATAGCTGTGAACTATATATTATGATGTATTATGAATATAATATCCATATTTTATAGCTATAGGTCTCACTACATGTATATGATGTAAACACACATATACCATATATTGGATACTGCATCTATATGAAATATACATTATAATACCATATTTTAATGATGTGAACTATAGCTGGTTGGTGGTTTCAACATACCTACCCCTCTGAAAAATGATGGAGTGAAAGTCAGTTGGGATGATGACATTCCCAATATATATAATTTTGTTCCAAACCACCAGCCAGCTATTATATATGGCCATTTCATTAAACAAAATACACCATTTGCAGATGTTGTTTGATGATTTACCTATTAAAAATAGTGATTGTCTATAGCTACGTTAAATAGCCAGAGGGTAGTTATTCCCAGTATATGGAAAAATAAAATTCATGTTCCAAACCACCAACCAGATTAGTTATAAATACCATCTTTTGACATCGGGAATCTCACCTTTTGACCTCACCTTCTTCCGAAGCTTTTCGCGCAGGAAGCCCTGCGCCACCATCGCGATTTGGAAATGGCCCTCTCCTGGCGTTGGGATTGAACTAATCAAACATGGATACTCTCTGGTAAACTAACATAACTATGGAAAATCACAATTTTTAATGGGACAACTCAATATAAATGGCTATGTTCAATAGCTCTTTGTAAGTTTACCAGAGGGTAAAAGAGTGGAACAATGGAATTTGCGCGCCAAACGTGAAACAGAGGGAATTGTCCCAGGCAAAAATGGGGATTAACAGTGGATAGTTTCATGGAACATCACTGGATGATGGATTTAACCAACAGAAATGGGGGATGTCACCAAGAACAATAGCGGTTTTCACAGGATATTTCATGGGGATATACTGTACTGGAAATAACTGTACAGCTACCAGGTGCTGCACCAGCTAGGAATTGCTAAGTTGGTAACAAGTATAAGTTGACTAAGGTTTTATGATAGATACTGTTGATGGAAGAAATCCTGCACCTGTTGGCAACTATTGGTAACTATTCTAATATGGGTAACTTACTCGTATTTACATTGTTTCATAGTCAGCAACATGACATAAACCCATTAGTATGGCTATGGTAACTATGTAGGTCATATTGGTAACTATGAAACACTGTAAAGAATGGGAATATCATGGGATGCACCATCTACGAAAACTGGTGCAAGATGTCATATTGGCCCATCCACAGTATCAGCCGACTACACCAACTCAGCCGACCATGGGACACCATGTATAGCGTACTTCAGCAGTTTGAGGTGGCACATGGTGGCACCCCAGAGAGCCTGACCAAGCAAAGGCATTCCGAAGCAGCAAACACAACACTATACAGTTGCGCCATGACATGTCGGCTGTTGGCCGATTGTTGCAACGTACTGCTGTGAGTCCCGCATCAGGGCTGTGGTTCCGCCGTAGCAAGGATATATTGCTGGGTCTTTCCTATGACCAAAACAAACAACTGCAGGGGCAAAACAGTTTATCAATTATTTGGGATGAAAAAAGGCCAGCACACGCCATTCATGGTGTGACATGTGAAAAAGTGTTCTTATTTTTTGATCCTGATGTGCTCTGTGAAATTCTCAGAAAATCTTGAACTACATCTATGAAAGGATGTTTTTTCTCAGTGATTGCGCTGACCTGCGCTGATCATAACTCATGGTTACACTGAAGTTGGCTGGCGTGCATTTTATGCATGAGTCCATTTCATGTCCTTGAAAGGATCTGAAAAGCTGGAACCACACAACAAGCATCTTGTGGATTCTTGTGGAGGGAGGGTCTGCATATGTTCCCTGCAGTTTGTAAATGGTTTGGGCAACAAAAAAACACAAAACACAATGGAACATCATCTAGAAATGAGGGACTTTCGTTTGATTTTTGATTCGCACAGTGTAACTGGGTTCTTTGTATTTGTTCCCATGTACTTTTCGGTTGTTCATCATCGCAAGTGTTCGCTGGGAATCAGAAGCGTCCCCTTCCCCATATTATGTGTGGTATTTTTCATACTTAAAGTGGTTGGTGGTATACCTACCCCTCTAAAAAATATGAGTCAGTTGGGATGATGACATTCCCAATATATGGAAAAACATATTCCAAACCACCAACCAGGTAGAAGTGGATTCTACACCTCTTTTGAATAAGTGGAATTTTCTTAAGTTACACCCCTGCAGCTATGCTTTGAAAGGCCAGGACATGTTTGTTTTTTAGGCCTTTTCGTCCTGGTGCAGCGTCAACTTAAGACATATTTCCAGGGACAAAAGTGTTCCCCGGTGAGCTGAAACGCTAAGTGTGTACCGATTTATTGGAGGTAGCTACCATTAGTTTAGGTCTATTTGTTAGGCCTATGTAAGGGAATATCCCCACAAATATGATCTTATATGGTACAGTACCTCCATTTTAGGATCCTGAACATTTCAAAAGGCCTGATGTCCCATACGGGCGATTTCATAAGTGGGGGTACCTCAATAGCTGGATGGTTTATAATGGAAAATCCTACTAAAAAGGATGATTTGGGGGTACCCCCTATTTTACGAAATCTCCATATGTCACTTGGACTTATGGTGGACATATCTATATAGTTAGTGGATGTTAATTGGGTATATAAACCAACTTACTAAGTGGCCCACCTTGCAATGTTGAATGAATGAGAAGTCCACAAATCAACACCATCTGGTTGGTGGTATACCTACCCCTTCTGAAAAATATGAGTTCGTCAGTTGGGATGATGACATTTCCAACTGAATGGAATGTCATAAAAATCATGTTCCAGAACACCAAGCAAATAACCATGGATAAACCATTCAGAAAACCATGAATAACCGTTATAACCATCAATATACCATGGAACATCATTTATTAAACCACCAACAAGGCATAAATCAATGGGAATTCCAGGATCCTAAAATGGAGGTACTGTACCATATAAGGCCATATTTTAGGGGGATATCCCCTTACATAGCCCTTATATTAGGCCTTATATATGGTAGGTACCTCCACTTTAGGATCCTGAAATTCCCATTGAATAAATAAGACAAACCCTTGCAACCCTCCGAAGTCCACAATTCATCCAGTGTGTTGGTTGAAAATCTCGCTACGCTGATGAAATCCCCAATGAGCAGGGCTCCAAATGTGCCAGGTACGTTACGTAACGTCCCGCAGCTATAAGTTGGTTTGTAAACCCAATAACACTATAACCCAGTTATTGGAGTTATAACCCAGTACCATAAATTCCAATAACACCAATTAACCAACTTATAATTCAAAGTGCCATACACCAAAGTTATTGGAAATATAACATATTATAACCCAGTTTGGCTCTCGCAAACAGCACCCCAACCTTGCAAATCATTTTCATAGTATCCCAATTTACTGCGCCATTATATCCAATGTAAATATAAGTAAATATGTAAATCAACTAAACATCCCATTCAATCATCACCTTCTTGGGAAATCGCTTTGATCATTGGGAATCAACGAGGACAACAAGGACAACAAGGATTGGATTGTTATTTTAATTTACAATAACGTTGATTCTTAAATATTCAAAGATCATTTTCCCATGGTTTCGTTATTGTAAATGGGCGCCTTGAAACCCTTCGATCTTTTTCGAACGCGCGGCGCGTGCCACGTCCATCTCGATTCCTGCAGCCAGAGGCAGACATGCCATGGAAAATCACCATTTGTAGTAGGTAAATCCATAAACTATGGAAAAATGGTGATTTTCCATGGCATGTCTGTAGAAGTAGGTAAATCATCTGATTTATGAGGATATCCATAGTTCACCCATTCCATTTACCGTTTAAATCCTGTGTAAACTATGCAAATCACCATTTTCAATGGGTAAATCCACTAAAAACATACCATTTTCCATAGCTAAGGTTAAATTACCAGAGGGTACGCTCCAATACACTAAGCATGGTTGGATTAGGATTTAACCAAACCAGAAAAGAAACACGTGATTCTAATTGGGTTAATCCCACTTAGGTAAAAATATAACTAGGGATTTACCCTGTGTTAAACATGCAAAAAACTACAGAAATCCAAAGGCGTCCTTTGGAAGTTGTTTACATTTCTGGTGGATTGTTCTATATTTGTTAGCTACTAGAGAGTGGAGGATATCCAAGGGCATGTTTGCAACATATCATCCCAAAAACACACCCTCTGGTAAACTATACAAAACACTATGGAAAATCACAATTTTTCATTGGAAATATCAGTATTTCTATGGCCATTTTCAATAGCACACTGTTGACACAACCAGAGGGCAATTTAACCATTGCTATGCATGAATCACAATCAACATTGTGATCTCTTAAGATCAATAATGAGCAAAAAATACGGTCATGTTGCTGCTGGAATCTACTTCACGGGTGGACCCCCTCGTTATACATTGGTTTAATTGGTTTATATATCTCCCCTAACTATAGTTATACCCACGATAAACCCTAGCTATTGGAGTTATGTTCTCGAATTGAAGTATGATAAATCAACTTAAAAACTACTTTACTTCGAGTTATCCCCACCATGACATTTATATGTTTTGTTTCTGGCAAATCTTCTGGCATTCTATCTGACATATCTTTTGGCATTTTATCTGGCATATCTTATGGCATTCTATCTGGCATATCTTCTGGCATTCTACCTGGCATATCTTATGGCATATGTTATGGCATATCTTCTGGCATTCTATCTGACATTCTATCTGGCATATCTTCTGGCACTCTATCTGGCATATCTTCTGGCATTCTATCTGGCATTCTATCTGGCATATCTTCTGACATTCTATCTGGCATATCTTCTGGCATTCTATCTGGCCGTTGAGGTCCAGCAGTGCACACTGAGCTCGGAAGGTCCCAGGTTGAGTTCCAGTGATGCACACTGAGCTGGGAAGTTGGCAAAGAGCTTGGCGAAGAGTTGGCAAGGCGGAAGTTGAGGTGGAAGTTGGTGCAGACATGGTCGAGAAGAAACAGGCAGAGGAGAAGGAGGAGGAGGAGGAAGAGGAGGAGGAGACAAAAATAGCTATCCAAGAAAAAACAACTATGATAAAATCCAACAACCCTCACCTGGCAGGTGGGGAACAATTAATTTTCATGAATGTCCCATAAAACCAACTAGATCTATCCACCAATATTGGAACCATCTAAAGGACCCCACCTGGTAAATACACAAACGTGAAGCACGTTTATCGAGATGATCGGGATGATCTGGTGACTCCAAGAACCAATAGTAGCCCCCTTCAAAATCAGTCACAGTGGCCCAACTAACACTGGTTGGTGGTTTCAACCCCTTTAACCATGGTTATAAATCCAGGATAATCCAGGTATAGCTGTGAACTATACTTGTAATACCCAGATTTTGATGATGTGAGCTGTAATTACTGGTTGGTGGTTGAGCCTACCCCTCTGAAATGGGGTGAAAGTCAGTTGGGATGATGACATTCCCAATATATGAAAATAAAATTAATGTTCCAAAACACCAACCAGAACAGTGAATTATCCGCCGACCCCGGCCTTCGCCAAGGCCGGGGCGGCGCCTGGGACCACCGCAGGTGTGGAACTTTTCCGCGCGGGCTTTAAGTGTGCGCGGCAGCTTCCACCAAGCCTGGCCGTCAGCCTTTGCTGCTCCAGGGTTGCAGCCTGGCCCTTTGCCTGCACATCCCTCGCGGCAGCTTCCACCAAGCTCCTGGCCGTCAGCGTTCCAGCATTGCAGCCTGCCCTTTGCCTGCACATAGCCCTCTCTTGTTAGGGCATTCGAGCCTACATAGCCCTCTCTCGTTAGGGCATTCGAGCCTGCCGTTTGCCAGCCTTCAAACCCTTAAAACCCCTCAAACCCTCCGCGGCAGCTTCCACCAAGGCCTCTGGCCGTCAGCCTTTGCTGTTCCAGGGTTGCAGCCTGCCCTTTGCCTGCACATCCCTCGCGGCAGCTTCTACCAAGCTCCTGGCCGTCAGCGTTCCAGCATTGCAGCCTGCCCTTTGCCTGCACTTAGCCCTCTCTTGTTCGGCATTCGAGCCTGCCGTTTGCCAGCTTCTACCAAGCTCCTGGCCGTCAGCGTTCCAGCATTGCAGCCTGCCCTTTGCCTGCACATAGCCCTCTCTTGTTAGGGCATTCGAGCCTGCCGTTTGCCAGGCTTCAAACGCTTAAAACCCTTAAAACCCTCCTTTGCCTGCACATAGCCCTCTTTCGTTAGGGCATTCGAGCCTGCCGTTTGCCAGGCTTCAAACGCTTAAAACCCTTAAAACCCTCCTTTGCCTGCACATAGCCCTCTCCCGCTAGGGCATTCGAGCCTGCCGTTTACCGGCTTCAAACCCATAAAATGCTTCAAACCCTCCTTTGCCTGCACATAGCCCTCTCTCGTTAGGGCATTCGAGGCAGCTGCCACCACGCCCT